ATTGCATAATTATAAGGGTGTGTTTGGTTTGCACATGAAAATCGAAATCAGAATGAGAATCAAATACTTAATGATAATGGATTTTGGTGAAAGTATTTTGCATGCATATTTAGAAGTAATAAAGTATAATTGGAATGATTACCAATATTGATGTTTGATTGTGTATGATCACCCTATAATGGGAATAAATATTTTAAAAATATAAAAACAAAAAATCAAGGCAATTGATCCTAATATAATGACATCCAAAGCATCAATATGAACAAAAAAAAAAATCAAAACAAAAATTTAAAAGTACTAATCCAAACTTAAAAATTATATTACCAATAAGATGAAATAATTAATGACACCCCTAGCTTTTTAATTACGAGTATGATATTTTTAATTGAAGGGGTAATCACATTTCATAGTTGTGTTTTAAAAAGTTGTCAACCGAATACTGACTATGATTTTGATTCTCATTCCTAATATGTAAACTCATGAACCAAACACACCTTAAATATGATTTATTTATAATTTCATTCTATCATGATAGTAAAGAGCAAAGTTTCTATGTCAGGACCAAACGTTTACATTATGTAATTACACTATAAAAGTTATACTATAGCGCAATCATAACTTTATTTCCTTATATTTGAATAACAAGTAACGTCATGATTCGATAATAGGATGTTAGACTCAGCCCTCCCGTCTTCGCCTAACACTCCAAAAAAATTTAAAGTATTTAAAAATAATCTTATTATTAAAGGTTTATATCGGACCAAAATTGAAATAGGACCATTAAACTCATAGAACACATTGAAAATAATAGGTAATAATTTCGTGACTAACATATAAACGCAAGCAAAAACTCTATGCATTTAATCACTGCGTTAGGTCTGGATAGTAATATAATAATTCCAATACTAGTTTGGATAATATATTCTATTTGTCATTCATTGTTGTTCCTAAAAGGTTAATCCCAACCCTCGACCTGACAGAGCATCTGAGAAGATGTAAATCATGGTAACTCAGTTAACACAGAGGTTGTCCCCCCCTCACTTTGAGAGGTTACTCTCACACACACTGGTAAGAATCGATTTCAGGTCATTGTTCCTAATAAATTTTATCCTGTGACCAACTGAACTGTCCATGCGGACTATTTCTCATTCATTTGTGAAGGGAAAATGGGTAATCCTTATTCCTTAATAATATATTCATTTTCTTGGCTTCCTATGTTGAGCAAGAGTCGCATGGTCCAACTTGGCTCTCACCATGTCATTACTCCAACATTCAAGAAACCTATTAAAAACAAAATTTATAATTAACCTGAAAACCTCAAGTTGCACGGCATTCAGATTGTTACTACATTGTGTGTCTGTGTGTGTGTATATATATGTATAGATACAGCTACTGAATATAACAAGTGACAGCAGATTGGTGACTTGAATGCATGCAGAAACTATATGAATTGAATATACAGACATTAGATCAGAGAGCAGAGAAATGGTGACCTAGCAGCAGGAAGAAGATGGGCAGGCCACATAATCTGAAAATTTTAAATGGAGGGACTGTTTGGGAGTTGAGTGTGGCAATTTATATATTTGTGTCCTTCTCAATTGGGTCACTTTCCCCTCTGATGATTACATTAAGTAAAAAGGCCAACATTCTCATGGTAGTATGGCTCCACTGTTTTCAAGATAAATGTTCTTCTCCTTAATTCATCATCCCCCACATCTATTAATAATACCTCCATTATTGATAAACATTCATATATATATATATATATATATATATATATATATATATATATATATATATAACCTGAAAATAATCAATTTCACAAAGGATATACACAGTATATCAATCATCAATAAAATATATATATGTCATTATTTGGTTCAATTGCTTTGAAACCAATCAATTTATTAACAATTAATGAATTTTGATAATCGAAATTCAAAGAAGTGTCTTGTCTTAACTAAAAGCTTAGGTAGACAATTACTACTTTTGATAGGTCCAGTAATACGTGAACACATAATTTTTTTTTTTTATCAGGTAGCATGAAGATTCATGGGTATGTGCTCAAGAATACATATACACGCACTAGAGAAAAATTGGATCTACCCACTAGAAAAAAAATGGATCTTGCATCAGTTTCATCAATCAACGCTAGATAGGAGTTGTTGGGTTGCAATTCGGAGAGTCGAATTCAGCATTCTGTTATCGTAAAGTGACACTAATTGTAACGTAAGTATAAATAATTTAAATAAAATTATACTCTCACAACTAGTTATAACTTTTGACCAACCTATGAAATCATGTAGTGATTAAACTGGCCGGAGCTGAATGCAAGTGTGAACTAGGTAAACCACATTCCTGTGCAGTAGCCCGCAAATTACTAAACTGCATTAGGAAAATTTTGTGCAACAGCTCAATCTAAAAATATTGACAATAATCAACCTCAGCTCGTGACATTTAAATATAAAAATCATGTTCTACCCACTCGGACACCCCTCTCGGGACACAGTAACATTTCTATTTTAAATGCATGGTTTGGGTATGTAAGGATAGATGCGGAGATGATCTGAAGAGGGGTGAGTTAATAAATAATAATGCATAATTAATGCAGGAAGGAAAAGAAAGGGTTTGGCTGGTATAGAATGCACAGACAGACAAGTAAAGGTGATGGACCCCATTTCAGACAATGACATGAGATCGATAATTCATAATTGAATTGAAAGGCCAAAAAAAAAATAAAAAATCACCTCACTCCATTACAAATATCTCTCTTTTCAAATAATAATATGTAAATAATTTCAGATAGCTAGGGTTTTTAATTATCAACTTAAATATTGAATAATTTAATGGTAAAAGTTTACATAGTAGTTGTATAAGACTGCAAGTAATAACAGTGTATAATATATACATATATGGATTGCTAGCTACTACTGTATATATTATATATATAGAAAGGTGGTCCCCTAGGGGTGAGGTGGGGGTCCAGGTGGCACGGTCGGCAGGGTGTGGCCCTAGCCACGTGGGAGCTGTGGTCCAGGTAGGACAACCCATCCTTGAGCAATGACACATGTACCTAAAAGTAAAGGTGGTGACAGGCTGGTTGGGATGCATAGAGAGATTAAAGTTGTCTTCACTCTTCATCACAACTTCAGTAGGGAAGATGGATGGGAAACAGTGTTTTCTACTATTCTATCCTCCCTTTCTTTTTCTTGAAAAATTATTACACTTAATCAAAAAATAAAATCGATAAATCGTGAGATATAACTCAATTGTTTGTAGAGTTTTAAAACAATTTGTGTACTAGTGTTCACAGTATGGTCAATTCTATACTTCCGTTTGATAGGAAGTGAACCCTGACCCCTGAACGTTACTATTGACAGATAATTCTAGACTTTTCTTGGATAGGAATTGAATCCTGAACCTTACGCCTTATTATATTCGGTTGGCGGAACTAAGCTGCTAACTCTTTTGAATTTATTGTTGAGGGTAAAAGGGAGGGTTGGAGGATGATATATGCATGGGGATTGAATTTATTGGAGTCAAAAAAAGGGGTTACAAAAATGGGGTCATATCAGATCATATCATATCTTCTTTATTGAGTTCACTTTGGGTGGTCCTAACTCCTAATTAACTCATTTGGTCTTCCCACTTCTATATCATAGTTTCATCTATTGCTGTCATTGGGCCTGACCTTGACTCCAATACAAGTCCACTATTACCTAAGCCCAACTACAAATGGGCCTCTTGAGGCCCAACACCTATGAAAAAAACTCAAAGCAGACAAATACCTAAGCCCAACTACATATGTTGTTCCAAACATGGCTATTTTAGTACACAGTTTCCTGCAAATGGAAGAAAGGGCTCAACCTGAATATTCAGCATATCTTGCACACAAAAAGCAAAATTCTCTTACCCAAGACCCTCATATCTCGAAGTGACAGAATAATAAATGGGTAAATTATGTTAATTTAGCAATCCATTAGGTGGAAGGACCAGTGTTTGGTGCCCGCAAGTAGAGGTGGGAATAGGCCAGGCCCCTTGTAGGGGCCTATATCCTGGCCTAATTAAAGCCTAGTTAGGCTTAGCTCGTTTAGTAAAAAGGTCAGGCTTGAGCCAATTTTAAAGCCTATTAAACTAAACAGGCCAGACCTATATATACCAGGCTCGGCCTTCAGGCCTACAGGCCTGGCATATATATATATATATATATATATATATATATATATATATATATATATATATATATATATATATATATATATATATATATATATATATATATATTCTATTTTATACCTAATATTTTTATATTTACAATATAACCTCAAGTATATATAATTACCAAACCCTAATCCTTCACCTCCAAAATCTCATTCTAAATTATGATTCAACTATAAACATTGCTGTTAATCCTGCTATAAGTGATTTTATTGTGTAATTTTTTTATTAACTGTTCTTACTATAATAATATTTAATGAAATATCGCAACTTAATTATGTGAGTTGATTATTAATTATTTATAATATTATATAGGATAACAAACAATAATACAATTGAATTTATTTCTAAAAAAGTTAACGAGCATGCTGAAGTCGTAACTTATTTTATTTTATATTTTAATGCTATTATGTTTGCATTGTAGTGATATACTTATGTAATTATGTATTAGTTTTGTATTAGGTACATTTCTTATATTATTTAGATATAATAAAGGTTTTAAAAAGTCTTAACATGTAGGCTTTAATTGGCTCAAGGTAGGACATACATGAAGCATTTTTAATGACCTAAATATTAAACGGGCTTTTAAAAAGGCTTCAAACCAGGCCAGGCTAATTGCAGGAGCCTAACAAAAAGCCTACATACAGGCTCAGGCCCAGGCCTAGGCTTTAAATTTTCGTAACAGGCCCAGACCTAATTTTTCAAAGCTCGGCTCGGTTTGGCTTATTTCCACCCCTACCCGCAAGGAGCCCACTACATTAACTGAAACTCTCACACTGTAAATTCTGTATTCTTGCCCATAATCTATTATCCAAGAATCAACTGAGTTGCCTGTGCGGACACAGTTTACTATTTATCTACAACAAGTGAAGGGGATAACACCATTAAAAAGTAAAAACAGAACAATATATACCTGAGTGTTAACCTATTACATAGACCAAGTTTCCAGATTTTGCACATCTGATTGAATATTCATTAAAGAGGAAACAACTTCTGATGCAGTTGGCCTGTTTGCAGGTTCATCTGCCATGCAAGCTGCACTAAGTTTTATCAACCTCATGGCAAGTTCTGTTTGGTCAATTATGAACCCTAGGGGGTGCTTAACTTGCAGCCTGGGATCCAACACACATTGAATCTCACTTTCTTCTCCATTTCTTCCCTCCATGATCTGAACCACTCTCTTCACTTCTTCTCTCCCTGTAATCAGCTCCAACAGGACAACCCCAAATGCATAAACATCTGTTTTGGGGCACAGGTTTCCAGTTCCATTATTCTGTGCTGATGATCTTGCCAGCCTGAAATCTGCAATCTTGGCCCTGAGATGTTCATTCAGTAATATACTGCCACTGTTAATGTTGTTATGGACAAATGGTGGATCTGTGAAGTTGTGGATGTAGTTGAGACCATCTGCAACGTCTAGTGCGATACGAATTCTATTGTTCCAGGTATGAACTTCGGGGCCATCGTTCTGCAACAGCCATTCTTTCAGAGATCCATTCGCCATGAACTCGAAGACATGATAGGATACTCCAAGGTGCAAACAAATGCCACGAAGGCGAATTACGTTGCAGTGGTTGATCTTTGAGAGAACTTTGACTTCACTTGATGATGAATCTTCCTTTACTGCCTTTATAGCTGACAGTTTTCCACCCAGAATTCCTGCATAAACTGAGCTGCTCAGCCTCTTCTCCAGGCTGAAATTCTCAGTAGCTTCTTCCAGTTCTTCATACTCATAAACAGCAGGAAACTGATCCCTTACATGCTCAGGTAATTCCCACTTTTCTTTCCCATTTTCTGCTTTTCCCAAGGCTTGATCATCGGTTTTACCTCGAATTAAAATGAATACTGTAAAACATAAAATTGCCAGAGAAATGCCAGCCCCAATTCCAATCCAGATACTTTTATAAGACCTTTTGTGCTTCTCTTTGGGACTGTCTTCTGCTCCTACTGCCTTGTAAATCTTTGTCTGGGATTCTGAAGGCTCTATTTGCAGAGGGATCAAAAGAGTTGTAAATGGGAAAAGAGTGTCCTCTGAAGAAATCCCATTTGCATTAGCTACACTGCTTTTGCTAACACCAAACTGATTACTTATCCTAGAAACATCATCTCCCCAAATGACTAAATATGATACCAGAAACTTCACACCATTTTCTGTCTGGTTTCTTGTAGGGCAGGCACATCTAAGGGGGACACTCAAGTTCATCCCAGGAACCAAGTCTTGTGGACGATATACGTTTTCGCGCAAGAGGGCACTGCAAGAAGAAAGCCCCTGGAAGGTGTTGTTTGCCGCGGTGAAGTAAGTAGTGCCGCCACTTGGAATTGCATAAGAGGTGTTGGCCTGATAGTACAGACCCGAACACGAACACGAACAGTTTACTGGGACGATTAGTTCCTTGTTCAGAGGCAAGATGGCCTCCCTGGAGATCTTGTTGATGCTGGAGACCTCTCCAGGGTCTGCAGATAAGAGAGATGAAATGGAAGAGACTGAATTGTATGGTGGGGGCTGTGATCTGAAGATGAGGAAAGCTTTGCAGGTTGACAGATGATGATGATGAGCAGTACAAGTGTAGAGAACAGCAGAAGATGGCACAGTTTCATTGAATCTCTCACAACCTAAAACTGCATTTCCTAAATACTTCTGCTGTGCTGCGGTATATGGAGAAAATATGATTGCATGAAGAATGAAAATCACCAGAAATTGAAAACCCCCCATGGCTGTTCTCCCACAAATTTGAAGCAACCACTCATTAGAATATGGGTTTTATTGATTTATTCTTCCATAGTTCAAGAAACAAACAACATATTGTTGGTTGGCATTGACAAAAGGAAGCCACCAAACACGTCTTTGTCAGATCAAACACTTACAATTAGGCCACTACGTCTTATAACTAAGTAGCACCAATGTGTAACTTTATGTCTCTATATTTACTTATCAGTCTTGATGGCAGGATGCTGAACTAGGCTTTCAGTTTTCTCAGGATCAAAAGCTTACCACTAGGCCAAAAAATAACATAAACATCTGCTCGCAGGGGTAACTCAACTGGTCATAAAAGTAAAAGTTTAGAAGAATGACCAAGGATCGAGTCTCACCGACGGTAGTGTGGGAGCAACTTCTCAAAGTGAGAGGAACTGGGTCTTTGAGCCGCCCAACATTCTTGAAATCTTGTTGTTGAAGCAAGCTAATCATTCAACAAATCTTTGGTCGGGTGACGTTTAACAAACGCAGAAACAATTAACAAATGTTTCCAGGCGGCTTCTAGTGCAGAGCTTTGTCAACGAAGACAAGAGAAAGATGATAATTATACAGAGATTAGTTAATAATTAAGAACATCGTTTTCTATACGTATTATGAAAGAGATTTCAAATCCCTCTTCATGGCGGCTGGCGGTTTTACCACACCCACCCTTCATCTCCCTCAATCAGCGCATGCAGACTACCAGAGCCCATATACATATGTGCAACATAACCCATTACAAAAACTGTGGGCTCAGCTCCCATGATTATTGCAGGACCCAAGCCAACAACATTAGTAGGACACACCATCATTTTCTGGGCTGCCTATGTTTTCCCATCTCCATATCTGTCCCTGCTGTACAGCCCAACATCATCGCTGATGGATACCAAAGATGCCGTCGGTCAATCGTTATATCGTGCATCAGGACGCACAATGCACACTGCCCCAAAAGTCCAAATCGACATCGTTTTTATAAGTTGTGTAGAGAGTTGCCGCGACGGAAATTATTTCGTCCGTCCAATCCTGTTACAATTTTTTTTAACATTTGTATTTGTGTGTATTCTGTTAAGAGTTCGTTGTGTTTTTAAGAGTTTATGTATATCACGTTAAGAGTTTGTGTATTATGTTAAGAGTTTATGTGTATTATGTATTATATATGTTACATTATGTGTATTATGTTATGAGTTTATGTGTATTCTACTATATAATTTTGTACATCCGAAATAGAGAATTTTTTTTTAAAAGTTAACGGCAGAAACATGAAATGACGTCGTTGTGCGCCCTGATACACGATATAATTTTCCGCAATCAGTACTACCTAACAAGTAGTCGGGCCTCAAACTCGACAATCAATACACGAGATATATGACATATGGACTCCAACCTATTTATCCTTCCATATATAACCTCCAAATAATTACCCATAAATATTCCAATTATTACCTATTATTTCTCATTTATCACCCATTAAATCCCATTATTTCCTATTTATTACCCATAAAGTCTCATTATTATCCCTTATTACCCATCTCTTCTACTTAAAAGGGAAGTCACGAACAAGTTGAAGGGGACTCCATTTTCTCAAGAGAAGACAGCCAAACAATATGTACAAAAATGTTTATAAAATAGTAAATTTCAGCTCGACACCATCTAAAAAGGTCCATGATTTTTACCCTTTTGATTTTCACGTTAAAATTGTTGTGTCTCTTCTTTTTTTCTTCTCAAAGTATTTATATATTTTATTGATTCAATCGGTTATATTAGCCTGCCAAGTAACTATCCCAGATCACAAAACTAACAATCACCTTCATACTGCAGTTCAGATTTCATAAATAGTTAATTAGCATATACTAGATTGCTTCATGCCTAAGATTGTTTTTCTGGTGATGAAAGAAATCCACACTCATTATTTTATACCATATAAATTACACACACAAAAAAAAATTATCTCAAAAGAATTCGTGTAATAATAAACTTATCGGGATAGTAACTTGTTATTTTCTTTTTCAGATATGAGAATCATGTATAGGATTGATAAAAGTGTTGTTTGATTGTATATTGCGAGATGGATTGGGACAGGCGACAGTTTATTGAAGAAGCGTCCCACATCGTTGACTAATCCACCTTATTTATTGCTGAGGTATATATATCATTGTTTGGACTCGACGGGAGTGACACGGCTGCGTGTTAATTAAAACGTTTGAATAGGAACCAGAAAGCGAGTATTTTTCTTCTCCAATAATATTGAATTTTAAGTAATTAAATTAAATTAAATGATTTTCGTTTTAATTAAAAAGATATTTTAGTGAGTATTATTTATAATAATATTTAGATTCGAGATTTTAGTTAATTAAAAAGTTAGACTTCTTTTGTTTAAATTATTATAAGCCTTTGGTACATCAAATCTAATGTTTGGCATCTCACACAGTCACACGTCTTCTGTGCTTTTTCCAGTTACATATATCTTTAATTCTCACCGACAGTTTATAAATTCATATTCCTTTTTTTTTTTTAATACTCCAAATTTTCTGGTTACGCCATATTATATCTTGGATCAATGAACCTGCTTACAAATTTATAAAGAGGTAATCCAGCCAATCTAGTTTTAAGATTCAACATTAAACTATATACTTTTGTGCACTGAGGGAAAGATTGTAAGGGAAATATAAAAAAGGTTTGTAACATTACGTACTTTTTCATGTTTTAGTTCTTTTGGGGTGGTTGGTAAATAGCTCTTAGCTAGTTTAGGTTGGGTTAGTAGATTTGACTAGTTGATAATATTAATTGATTGTAGAAAGACGTTTGATAAATTACTTATTAGTTAATTGATAGCTAATTACATCTAAAATGACTTTTTCAAAAAGCTTATCGAATATTTTAACGTTTTGGAGTAATAAGTTGTTACAAAAAGATAATTAATCAAACACTTATATTAGCTGTTTAACTAAATCAAACAACTAATAGTGGTTAAAAAATTTAAAATTAATTAATAAGCTAATTATGTTACCAAACCGAGACCAGGACTATGTGGTCCAATGGTACCCGGGTTGGACTTCCATTAGGAAGGTTGTGAGTTCAAGCCTCAGTGGAGGTGTTATTAGCTCTTTGTGTTTCAGTAACTTGAGAAAGTATATGAACAGATACTACAATGTAATAGGGCTAGTAGCATCCAAAAAAAATGTTACCAAACCGAGCCTTTATTTGCTTTCACACTAAATTTGTGTGTTGGTACTACTAGGCAAGAATATTTTAATTTATACTATGTTAATTTCTTTAAGATGTAGCATCAGTTGAAAATTGCGCCAAGGCTGTCCATAGAATTTCAAACATGAGTTGAAAATTAAAGGTGAACTTTACAAGCAATATAATATGATACATTCAGTCCCTGGTGTTACATTACTTTTCGAAACACCTACTAGTACAGAATTTAGAATGGACACCCACTTTTCGAAACACCTACACAATGAAGGTTTTGTAAAATAAAATTGTACAACTTTCTGCGTCAGCAATCAAGTAAATTGTACAATAATGGATAATCTCTTTTGGGCAAATTAAACCCAAAAAGATTACTTCAAATGCAAGCAAGAGGTGAAATAGTTAAATTAACAATATGTAGTTTTGGTTACATTCCTGAATTATAAGGTAAATGTAATAGCGGGCCAGTCTTGTGTTATAGCCATTACTATGCATTTTTAATTCTTAAATTGTTGGCAAAGTAGCATTTTAGGTTCCTCCAATAACGGTTCTAAAATAAGTTTTTATATAAGATATTGTAATTATTATTTTAAATTGTACTAGAGTTTAAAATTTGTTAATTATAATATTACTAGTATTTTTTATGCGCGATGCGCAAAAAATAGGTGCCCAATATTAGTACTTTATATTAAAATTTTAAATTTATTTAGATTTTAAATATTTAAATTATTATAAATAATAATAATAATAATAATAATATAAAATATTTTTATAAATTTGATATTTATATTTTAGAAAATAACTAGCATATAACTTCAATATATAATGTGTATATTTTTTTTTTGAAAGGGTATAATGTGTAATAATATTATTATTATTATTATTATTATTATTATTATTATTATTATTATTATTATTGAAGAATATAAGAAAATATATGGTAGATGCATGTGCATGGTAACAATAGTGGAAAAAATAACGGAAGTTATAACAGTAGGGGTATGTTTGTACAAAATATTATAAAGTATAACTTTTATAACATAATGTATAAAAAAACTTAACGGAAGAAACGGACATAAATGAAGGGTATAACCATCATTCACACATATTATGTTTTTTTTAGATAATATAATATATTTATTATATAGGTTGTTTTATATTGTATTATTTCATCTTTTTGAGGAAAATTAGTATAGGTAGGCATACGTGTTATGTAATGAAAAATCACAGCCGTTATTATTATTATTATTGTAAAAATCGGTTAGGCAGCGCCCCTAGGTCGTTCCACTTTCACTATTAGGCGCTCAAAATTGGTCAAAATTGACTAAAATCAGTCAAAATCGGCCTAGTCGGTCGATTTCGTTCGATGTCGTCTGGTCCAACCGTCCATAGACTAGTTTGATACTTTGAATTTTTGGATGGGTGAAGTGATAACACTCATTCTTGACTTCTTTTAACCCCATGTTTTAAGTCCATTTTGTACATAAAGTGCCCTTAACTAAGTGTTAATTGAGACTCATTTGTGTGATTTATTTTCTTAGGTACAATTATTCACAATGAGTAAAGAATGGAGCACTTTGGAGCATTTCAAGTCTATTTTGGAGTCAAGGAAGCAGTGCAAGAAAGAATGGAGAATTGGAGCAACATTTAAAAAATGGATTCAGGACAACTGACATGGCCACTGATATAGCCGTGTACATGGCCGTGTCAGCACATGGCCATGTCTGAAGAAATTTGGCACGGCCGTGCCAATCTGAGGCAGAATGCCTCAGATTTTGGCTGAAAATTGGACACGGCCGGGGACACGGCCGTGTGCCTGGCCATGTCGCTGCGCGGAAATTTGACAGCTTTTTAATACCTTTTGTTCTGTTTTTTTTTTAGAGAAGTTAGAACCCTAGAGAGCAAAAACTCATTCCATTTCACTTCCTTTCATTTTCCTTAGCCTAGATTAGTCTAGTATTTCATCTCTAACTC